TATTCATTGTTTAATACAAATTCGAAAAATGCAAACTGATATTTGTTCTTAGTTGTACATATTATAACATGGTTGTACAAACTCATATTAAAAAATCATATTGATTCACTGAAAAAGCAGCTTTGCTCCAGCTTGCTGCGGGAGAAAAGAAGAAGAATTGCTGTTTTTTTTAATTTCCATTTTTAATTAATTCTGATTTATTCTACTCCTTTTTGTTTTTTTATTAATTTATTTTTCTTTCCAATTTCATTAAGGTTAAAAGAGTAACTTCATCTTCACTTTTTGTCCGTACATGGCATTAGATCATGCCATGGCAGCCCAGATTAATTTTTTCTAAAAAATGGCAAAATGGCCTCGTGCTCGATTTATTTAGACCCTTGAAGGTCAAGGTCGACGAGCTATTTATAAAGCTCCTTTGCGACTTATGTAGACATTTTACATAATCAATAAAATGGGCAGTAGCATTGTGAGGTTTCCCCTTTGTTCTTGAGGTCAATCCGACTTTATCACAACCTGTCCATGACTTTCGTGGTGTTATTTAATCCATCGTTTCATACTCCATCGACAAGAATAAGCAAAGAGAGCCCTTCGGCAAGTTGCTTCTTCACAGCTCCATCTCATTCGGCCATCATCTCGATCTAACAAAGAGAGCCCCTCGGCCAGTTGTTTGATCTCATCACTTTGGTATCCGGTTGATAAGATCCCTACCTTGGATCTTATATCATCTGGTATCAGAGACAAAGGTTAAGGTTATTCAAGACTGGCCGACACCGATGAGCAGAGTACATGTAAGGAGTTTCCATGGCCTGACGAGTTTCTACCAAAGTTTTGTCAAGGACTTCAGGACCATAGCCACTCCCCTAACCGCGGTTGTCAAGAAGAATGTGGCCTTTAGCTGGGGAAAGAACCAACAAGAGGCGTTTGAGGGACTTAAAACATAGTCTTACTAATACTCATGTTCTAGTCTTACCTGATTTTGACAAAACATTTGAAGTTAAATGTGATGCCTCTGGTTTAGGTATTGGAGCTATGCTCACTCAAGGAGGAAAACCGGTTGCCTACTTTAGTGAGAAACCAAGTGGAACCACCCTCAACTATCCCACCTATGACAAAGAGCTCTACGCTTTAGTAAGGCCCCTCGAAACTTGGCAACATTATCTTTTATCTAAGGAGTTTGTGATTCATACAGATCATGAGACTCTCAAGCATTTGAGGGGTCAAAAACATTTTAAACGAAGGCATGCTCCCTGGCTATGTTGAGACCTTTCCCTACATTATCAAGTTCAAGAAGGGAAAATAAAATGTTGTAGTCGATGCCTTGTCCCGACGCTATGCACTCATTACTACAATGGAGGCCAAGGTGTTAGGGTTTGAGCTGATAAAGGATAGTTATGAAGAGGATCCTTAGGTCTGCATCATTTACCAAGCTTGCCTCAAAGCTCCATCAGGTTTATTCTATATACATGATGGATTTTTGTTTCTAGAGAAACGCCTTTGTGTACCGCAGGGATCACTAAGAGAGCTTTTGATCCGAGAGTCACATTAAGGAGGGCTCATGGGGCATTTTGGAATCGATAAAACCTTTAGTGTTGTGGTAGAACACTTCTTTTGGCCCCACCTCAAGCGCGATATCCCATGTGCCAAGACCAAATGATGCAACATAGACAGCTAAATTTTTCTTCAAGAAAGTAGTGCGTTTACATGGGCTACCTAGGACCATAGTCTTGAACGAGACACGAAGTTCTTGAGCCATTTCTGGAGGACCCTATTGAGAAATCTTGGAACCAAGGTGCTCTTTTCAACCACTTGCCATCCTTAAAACAATGGCCAGAACGAGGTTGTAAACCACACACTCTCAGCTCTTTTAAGAGCCACAGTCGGTAAAAATTTACAGAATTGGCTTGACTGCATTCCATTCATTGATTTTGCTTATAACCATGCGCCTCACTCGGCTACTAAGCTTTCACCCTTTTAGATTCTTTATCGGTTTAAGCCAGAGTCGCCACTAGACCTTAAGCCACTACCACCCATAGACCAGACTAGACAAGAAGGAGTTGTCAAGCCAGAAGCTATCAAGAAGCTGCATGAAACCGTGAGAGACAACTTGGAGAAGAAGACACTGCAATATAAACGCAAAGCTGACAAAGGGCGTAAGGATATGATCTTTGAGCCAGGAGAATGGGTCTGGTTGCACCTCCGACCAGAGAGGTTCCCAAACCAGAGGAAGTCAAAGATTTCACCACGAGGAGACGGCCCTTTCCGAGTCCTAGAGTGAGTCAACGACAATACTTACCGCCTTGAGCTGCCTGGTGAGTTACAAATATCTCATACCTTTAATGTTGCTGATTTAGCTCCGTTTGATGTAGGTGGACATTCTGAGGTCAGAATCTTCTCAAGAGGGAGGGAATGATGTGGATATCGACCCAACAGACCAACAAGACAACCCAAAACTCGAAGAGATCATACCAAGATGAATAATGGACCAAGGACAAGATCCGGGACAAGGAAGCTTAGAGAGGAATTCAACAAAGCCGTCAACAACCTACTTCTACAAACAAGCATCAAGGAAGAACCAGGACAGGAACAAGAGGAGACCAAGCGAGAATAACATGGAAAAGACAAGGAAGCTTGGCTGCTCTTGAAGAACACTCTCGACATCAACATTCATAACATCCTTGTCGAGAACACATGAAGATTACGACCAAACCAATGTGAGCCTTTGAATTCATTTCATATTTTTAAACTCACAACTTTCCTTTTTCTTGCAGGTTTTTAAGTTATGCTTTGCGTTTTGTTTCTTTTAGTTTCAACGAACAATAGTTTAAGTTTTTCGTTTTGTTTCGTGTATTTTCTTTCCTTTTATGTTTTTCTTTGCGTTTTATTTAGACCCTTGAAGGTCAAGGTCAACGAGCTATTTATAAAGCTCCTTTGCGACTTTTGTAGACACACTTTTTACCTAATCAATAAAACGGGCAGTTCTCTTATTTGGTTTAGCAGCCGCCGAGTTCTTGAGCATTGTGAGGTTTCCCTTTTGTTCTTGAGTTCAATCTGACTTTATCACAACCTCTCCATCAGTTGTGTGGTGTCATTCGATCCATCCTCCCATAATCCATCATCTAGAATAAGCAAAGAGAGCCCTTCGGCCAGTTGCTTCTTCTCCATCTCCATCTCATTCGACCATCATCTCGATCTAACAAAGAGAGCTACTTGGCCAGTTGTTTGATCTCATCACTTTGGTATCCGGTTTATAATATCCCTACCTTGGCTCTTATATCACCAATATTAAATAGATGCTTCACCAATATCTGGATCACCAAGTTGAGAGTACAAGAGAGATGGAGAAGAAGATCGATTTTGTTCAAGAAAGTCTAGGGAACAAATCTGAAGTCCTAGTCAGGCAAGTGATCAAGCTTGATGAAGACATTAGGAAGCTTAGAGAAGACCATGATTGATCTCTCAACTTTATCAAGCTAGATGTTTCTGCGAAATATCAAGAGCTACTCAACACGAGCATCAACCATGATTGATCTCTCAACCTTATCACTGAAGCATCTTGGCATAGTCTACAATCGCCTATCATCCCTTGAAGGAGTCGTCTATCCCAAATACAAGAGTGAGAGAAGTCGAACACCCAACCTCCCTCCCTTTCCTTGCAATGCTGCAAGAGCTATCCAAAAGAAAGGCTTCACTCGCCTTGTTCATGAAGAGAAAGAAGAAGAAGAAAAACAAGAATATGAGGAAGACTATGAAGATGAGGAAGCAGAAAAACAGAGTATTGACATCAATACTTCTCCCAAGCACAGCAAGACAATGCCTATCTCAGTTGACCCTTGATTCTCACCACCACCAAGAAGCCAAGCATCAACACTTCCAAGACTAGAAGTGATACCAAGGCCACAACCAACATCTAATGAAAAAGAAGATATTTGGTACTATGAGCCTATTGACTCCAACAAGATAAGCCCCATGAAGCTTAAAGAGTTTAATGCTAAGGTCAAGTCACTCCCATTATACATCAGCTCTGAAGAAGCTTGGAACAACCATGATTTGGTTAACCTTTTCTTCTCCACCGGCGAAACCAAAGAAGATATTAATCAACTCTTTAGACAAGCTCGCCTCTCCCTATCCTCTCATGCAGCAAATCAACCACCATCTCCACCTCCTTCACCACGCCCTAAGTGGTACAGAAACTCCATCTCCAGAGAGAAGCTAGCCGAGTTCAACCAATTCGTCAAAACATTCGTCAAGAAATCTCTTGCTCAGCTGCTAATAAGTACAGTCTCATTTCAAATTACTTGCTATAATGAGGCATCTGCTCCAGCTGCAGGTTTCTTGCTGGCATTATTTAACTCATCTATTTTGATTTCTCTCTTTCTTTTACAACTCTTGAAAGGTAACACCCATAAGCAGACAAACCGAGAGTTGGTAGTGGCTCCAGTATCAGCGGTGAGAAAGATAGTAGCTACTTCTTTTGCAGTCACATGGTGTTGTTAGAGGTGACTCTTCTGGTGCAAAATGTTTACAGCTAAGCGGTTTAAAGCGTCCAGCTTCAATTTGTATTCTCTGCTAGCTCGTAGGATGAGTCATGATCAATAATTTTAAAGTCATTTTCCTATGCTATATAATCTTAAATATTAAAATCAATAAACACATTCATGTTAATAACTACCAGCTTACCTTCAACTACTTTACAAAGATATTTTCAGATATCTTTTTGTACTACATTTGTCATGCTGGTAGCCTTCAATGCTGGAACTGAAATTCACAATTTGAATTTCTAAGTAGATATTAAATAATTAAACAATGAGAAAGAAATTTCAAATGATACAAGATAAAGGATATATGTATGTTTTCAACCACTCCTGCTTGGCACGTCCAATGGTGCTACTTAAACCGTCAAATAAGTGGGAAGTTTAAAAACATGACTCATAATGTAACAATTGGAGAAAGACACTGAACCCTTGAATTCACATATACTTCATCTCTTTGGGTACTTAACTCAAATCTCGTATTTGTCTCATCTTTGCATAAATCTATACACTATTTAGTATTTACGAAATGATATGGATGTCGATACCAAAAGGGAAGAAATACCCTAAAGACATAAACATTGCATTACTTGCTAGATTTAAGCCATCACATAATATGATTTGAGTATTTGCATCCAGGAGCAAGTATTTTGGGTGAAATTAGTTTTTCAACAAGACTGTATTATTGTCGTATAATACACCGTATTTCGCCACACCTTTTCTCTAAAATAACCTTACTCGCGTACAGAAGCATTTAATTGATCTGACCACTGCATTGAAAATGGATTTCTCTTTCCTCTTTCATCATTTCTCTCCCTGCTCTCTTTTTCAATCTTCTTCTTCTTCCTCCCCCATTTTTCTCGTTCTTCCTCCGCCATGAACTCTTTCTCCGTGCTCCTCCTTCCTCTCTTTTTCTTGATTTCAAATTAATGTTTTTTTAATTTTTGCTTCTGTTTCCAGTAACCAGATCTGGATGACAAGAGGAAAAGAGAGAGATCAATCAAACACCGTGATAAAGCGGTCTCGACGGCGGAGGAGCCTGACCGGAAAACAGATTGATACCCAAGTTCACAACTTTCGACGAGAGAGCCAAGTCAGACTCGTGATGAATGGGTGACAATAATCCAAATCCCGATCTGGTTATAAGGTGGAGGCCATGGTGTGATGGTGATGGAGGAAGCATTACAAGTGAGTTACTCAATTAGTGGGGCTCAATTATAAATATAAAATTGTATATACATTTTTTTTTATCAGCGTATCAATATATATGTATATTAGTAGCATGTTATGTGTGAATGTACATGTAAATATTGACTAAATAACACGGTATATTTTTCATTACAAGTTAACATATTGATTGCATGGTTATATATTATTATACATGTCTATGAAACTTTATACGTACATACAAATATAGGTGTACATTATTAAATAACTTGTTATGTATTTTTATTACATGTTAACATATTAGTTACATAGTTATAATATAATTTGTGTAGTTATCTGTACGTTTGTAAATTTAAATCTTTAATTTTATATCTATCGAAATATTTAAATCACTGCAATTTTTTCATAATTTATTTATTTGTATGTGTTATTTTATTAATTTAATAAAGGAAATCAATTAATGTGAAGAAAAAGCATTAAATGTCTATCCATGCAAGTCAATGCACAGTTTCCCCACTCTCTCCTACGCGCGTGTATACGGTTTCAGCAGCTATACTTGGGTACCCTTTTGCTAGTTACTTAAAACAATGTGTCATCTTGTTAAAAAACTAAATAAGGGTCAAAATCTTGCCATACAACAAATTCACTCATATGATTTTTGGTCTGCATAGTATTGGTATTAGTGCCTGTTCAATATTTGTATTAAAAAATATGTGAGGAAAAACCCACGCGTGGGCATCAGCCTAGTTATGATGAATGCAGTTGAGGAATTGAAAAATTGTGGATTTGTGATGTTCTCAAGGCAAAATATGCTAATTTTTATTTAAACTAATAACTATTGAATATTAAAAAAAAAAAGTAAATCTGAATTAAATAGAAGTAAAATTAGTTAACAATTGAACACAATATTCAAAAAACTTTAGATTAGTTATAATATTATCAAGAGCAAACGCGTGATGGGATGGAGAAAGAACAAAAATGTTTTTCCAACTAATCAAAACCGTTCTCGATGATGCTAAATAAGCTTAACGTAGAGAAATCATATATATGAAAAGAGGCCAACTCTCTCCATATTTTTGACATGTGAATGCAGTAGAAAATGACATGTGGCAGTAAGATTTTTTTTTTCTTTTTTTTTTGAAGAATTGACCTTTATATATTAGTCGTCTTTACAAATTCCCCTCTTTCTATCGTTTAATTCTCCGAAATCATAATATCAACCTCCCAACTCTGAATCGTCTCTTTCATATTCCTTTCTTTTAAGATGTAACATGAAATAATAAGTATATTTATAAAATGGTTCAACCTTTTCCGAATTTGGACACGTTTGCACTGTGTTAACTAAATGTGGGGAATCAAAGTCCATTTTATGTGGTTGTGAGTAAACAAAGAGAGTTATGTATAAAATGGGTCATATGATGCAAAAATATATATTTGAAATTCAGTCGCTAACCAAGTAAGTTGAAACTAAAACACGGGTATTATTGTGTTAGAATTTATAATATTACGTATCATATCAAAATATTAATTACAAATATATAAATATTTTAAAATGTTTTTAAAAATTATAAAAAAAAACCCGCGCGTATGCGCGGGCATTGGTCTAGTGAAGTTTAAAGACTAAAGTATTTAAAGCAAACTCATGAGAACAATTTGGTAACAATGGGGAATATGAAGAAAACACATAATTAATTTTGTTGCAAAAACGAATTGAAAAAACCGATGATGCTTAAAAACTAAGCAAAGACTTGCATAGGTATAACAATATATATTAAAAAAAAATATATGGTAAGTAGTAAATTATTAATATTAGGAATCCCAAACTTTTTAAATTGTTTATTACATTTTACATAATCAATTTTAAAATAATTTATTTTATTATACTATTAGTTAGTTATTTCAAATAAGTTTTTAATTATTTTAATTATTTCTACTGAGTTACTATTTAGTTATTCAGTTATTCAAGTAATTTATCATACATCATATTCAACAAGATTCAGCCGTTTGACCGAAAAAAAACACAAGATTCAGCCATTTCTATTTATCACTAACTAATTAGCCAATTTATGTAACAAATCATCATTTAATTATCTGAGATTCCGTATTCAGCCAAAGATTAAACTGTTATTATTTACACCCTAAGTCACCACTACAATAAAACGGATATTTTTAACTCATTATAAGTGCTATTATTCGTGTTCAATAAAATTTTCATAAACGCTGTGACAGTCAAAGCTAAAGGGGTGACCGGTACGACAGCGTTTTGTCATTATCTATATATATATATATATATATATATATATATATATATATATATATATATAAAGTTCATGTTCCTCTCTTCTGGTTTCTTCTAAATTTGCCACGTCACACTTTATTTAATTTATTATATTTTTTCTTTTTAATATTTTAATTTCATAATAATTAGCATTCATTACTATAATAAGTTTAACAAGAATATGAAAAGTCATTTAAAAAAAAGACTATGTATAGATCTACAAAAACTATTATTTAGTAAATTTATTTTTGTTAGATTATATAATTTACATTGATGTCAAGATATTATATAAAGAACACTGATTTTTTAACTATTTTGGGATGAAATGAGACGAGACCGGACAAGATGAGACGAAAAAAACATAACAAGAGAAATGGGATAAGACTGGACGAGACGAGACAGACAAATTAGACATGACGAGATGAAAAAACGGAATGAGACGGGATTGGACGGGACGGGATGAAAGGGACATAATGGGACGAGAAGGGACGGGACAAAATTTCACCTACCCCTAATTATATTTAGGGACCGGACAGAGACAAGACAAAACAGAAAAAAAAATATAACAGGATAGGATGGGACTCGATAGGGCGGATAGGACGGAACGGGACGGGGAAAGAACGGGACAAGATGAGAAAGAATGAAATGGGACGGGATGACTATACGGGAATTTTGTCTATCCTTAGTTATATTTAGGGAACGGACGAGAAGAAACGGAAGGAACATGATGGGACATAACAAAATGGAAAGGAACATAATGGGATAGGACGGGACGGGACAGGACATACAGGACGGATGAGACGAGAAAGAACGGACATGATGAAAATGAACGAAATGGGATACAATGGGACAAGACAGTACGTTAATTTTGCCTAATCCTAATTATTTTTAATTAATATGTGTAATATTTTTGAAACAATAATAAACAATAGAAATAAACTAAATTTGCGGAAAAACAATAAAATTAACACAATAATATAAATTCCCCCGAAGCGCGGGTCACCTCCTAGTTCTATTATAATGTTGGTAAAATGCTATGATATAGTGTACTATAACTAATTTTTCAGACTATGATCTAGTGTTTTGTATCTCTTTTTATAGGAAATAAAATATAACACTTTTGAATCTTGTTTTGTAGCATATAATCAATTAGACGTGTATTAGATATGTTAAAAAAAGTTGTTTAAAATTTGGTTCAGAATACACCCAAAACAAGTATTATACAAACATTATACAAAACATCAAGTCTTATACTAGCATCTTGCCGCCAAGAGTTGGTTAAACTTTTCCACCTGAGGGTACCTCTGGCATATGTATGTCACCATACCTTTTAACTCTTTCTTGTTCAATGTTCCAGTCTTTCCCTTGTCCGCTGTACTGAAAATTGCACATATATCTTCCTGTTTGCTCAATAAGACCAAGGTAATAACATATTAAACTCATCATCGGATACAATAATGTTATATTAAACAACACAAATCATATAGATCATCATAAAAAATCTTATACCAGCTATAAAACTCTGAAAACTACTAAATAATTATGTTTGTTCAAGTATGTTTGGGAAAACCTGTGAAATGGGAAATGAGATAATAATGACTTATCTCTTGAGAGCACTAACTTGACCACATGCACTGATATCAAGAGACCATGAATCTTCATCTCTTCTGGGCCTGGGACTAATATATTTGGGGTCCAACACAAAATTAAAAATAGGGCCTTTTTTAAGCTTAAAAAAAGACCTCTAAAAACTTTTAGAAAAAAAAATCCGAGGCCCATTCAAACTTTTGGGTTTAATTTAGTATTTTATTTTTAACAAAAATATGACACCATTTTAATAGGATATATATTTATATCACATGCGACGTCGTTCTATTTCTTTAACATCTAGGTTATTCTCTGTGATATAAAAATCAGGAACTCTAAATTTTTCTCCGCAGTTTTCATTTCCGCCGTAAGAGAAAAAAATTAGCCACTTTTAATGGCATGGAAGAAGATATTCCAGTGAAAGTTTCACCTAAGGGTATGTTTTGTTCTTCTACATATAGATTTTGTTTTTGTTTTTTTATAAGAGTCACATACTCTAAATTTTTCTCTACAGTTTTCATTCAACCGTAAGACAAAAAAACTGAAAGGCACTTTTGATGGCATGGAAGAAGAGATCTAAAATCTGGTTAATAATTTACCAAAAGGTACGTTTTTATTAAGAATATATTATTAGATTTTTATTTTCATATAAGAGTGACAAAGTCTATTTTTTCTCCCAATTTTTCATATTTGTCGCAAGAGAAAAAAATCAAAGGCTCTTTTGATGGCATGGAAGAAAAGATCTCAAATCCGGTTAACGATTCACCAAAGGTATGTTTTTATTAATAACAGATTCTTAGATTTTTATTTTTATTTGATTTCTTGTTAATTTTTCAAATACTTGTATAATTTTTTATGTTCATGTTATAACTTCTTCGATTATCTCATCATTATCATATTATTCAGTATTTTTAGTTTTATTGTTCATTGATTGAGATTAGATATATAAAGTTTTAAATACGAAATAATTAAAATAGGTATGATGAAAAATATATTGTAAACATCTGTTCTATGGATATCTCCCTTAGTATTGGTAAATATGATTTTTCCAGATTTTGATTTTATTGATGATTCTTTCTCTTATTATATTTCTTCTTCTTATATATGCTAGAGGGTTGATCTATGTTTTACGCAAAATTTTGTATTCCTATTACCGTACATGGTTAGAAGAATTATTAATGGTCGATTGCATAGTTGCATTTAGAACACATTAGAACATTTTGATACTCGAATATGGGTTGGATGTCTATTCGTCTCACCTATATAATTTTTCTTTAAGTGTTTTACATTTTTCTGGCAAACCCCCATTCCCTTCTCTCCACCTAACATGATGTTTAGATCAAATTATGGCTCGGTTTAAACATGTTTTTCTTTCAACTCTCTCCCCCGCTGATATAAATTTTAATCTTCACTATCTTCCTCTTCTATTATTTTTTCTGTCCGTTCTAATTTTTTCTCTCTAACCATGCCATTGTAACTTTTTTAATACTGTTATAATCTATTTTTTAAAAGATGTTTATTTCGTACAACTCTCTCTTCCTTTCACATTTGCCAAAATTAGACGCAACCACATTTGCCTCCCATGATTATTTTTGATTTCATATTATAAAAAGTCAACTACGTAATTTACTTCTATATAAGCTCATTTTTAAAAGCAAAATGGTTTGTGGAATACTGTATAATTGACATTTTTTTCGTTCTATTGTTCTATAAAGTAACAGAAAATTATGGTATACATAAATTATTTTTGATGAAACAATAATATCTTATAAAATTTTACCTCAAACTATTATATTAATAGTTGGTAATTATTGAGAGAATTAAAGTATAATAATAGAGAACATAATAGATCAGATAAATAATCTAAAATTAATAAATAAAGTGATATTGTGTCAAATTCTTAAGCACCCATGTGATGAGGTGGCATCATGAGAAGAGACTCCATTTTACTTTATATGTATAATATTATAAATGGACAGATTTTCTATGTTAGATGACTCTCATCGCGATGTCCGGGTTAAATGTTACTTAAATTTTCAAGTATTTTATAAATTAGAAAAACATGTTTCATGACTAAGATTGCTAATGGTGTTTGAAAAAAAATTGATTCGTTTGAGGTCGTAATTGATAATGTTGGGAATTTAAGTGTTAAAGGGTATATTACCAACCAATGAAACATTTTGTTTATTATTAAACATACAGTTGCAAACGTGCACTGAACCTTATGATAGTAAGAAAACAAAGAGAGAGATCAGATTCACAAAAGAAAAAGAAAAGTTAAACTGATAACCGACAGGCAATTCCCTTCCTGAAATCGGAGCTCCATACTTTTCTCGAAGTCCCCTAGCGTTCGATGTCTCTGTTAAAACTTTTGTCAGTACTCTTGGCACTGACAAATCCTCTTCACTATTTCTGTCTCGACCGTTCTTTTCTCTGATTGCCATATTAATGAGATTTGCGGAGTTCTTGAGGACCAACATCCCGTTTCTCTAAAACGAAAAAAAACATCCCGTTTCTCGCCTTCATTTAACGCTTAATGATTCCCCCAACGGCCAAGCCTTGGAGAGCTTCGTCCACAAATTTATGGAGTTTAACAAAGACGCGTGAATGCAATATTTTAAGATACAATCCAAGAAAGACAATGGTGATCGACTCATGGAGTTGATTGATACAGCAGTTTTTCGTGGAGTACAGCATTTTGATGTCGAGACCAAAAAAACGCCTAATTTAACTGAGAACGTTTACATGAGCAACATATTGGTCTCTTTAATGCTCGAATGCGGACGCTGGAGACTTTCACGTGTACTGTGTCATTACCTCGTCTCAAGATCCTGTATCTTGAAGACATTTTGTATGATTATGATCCTTCCATCGTAGTGAAGATCATTGAAGGCTCTCCTGCTCTTGCGAAGCTTTTGGTGATTAGTCCCAGTCTTATACTTGTGTACTTTACAAATTAGGTGTTGAGAAGGATCTCCGCGTGCGGTCTAAGACTCTAAAAATATTTCGTCTCGTGCTTGAGAAAACTCGGGGTGCTAAAAATTCTTCTATTGAGATTGATGCTCCAAGACTCGTGTATATGAGTCTTAGAGATCACCAATCTGTAGGATTGTGGTGAAGAACTTGAGCTCCTTGTTCATGGTCGAGATTGATAGTACACTTACAGTCAGTTCCAGTCCTTTTGAACCATTGTTTTCAAGGAACAAAGATGCTATGAGTAATGTTTTCGTGGGTATGTCTGGTGTATGACATATGATCATTGCTCATTCTACTCTTGAGGTAAATTACAGTCTCTTTTGATGTATATAAAACAACTATATGTAGTTTAATCAATCCTCTATGATGATTTAATGAATTCATTTCCTTCCTCTTGTACGTCCTCCACCTATATTCGGATTTCGTAAAGATTCTCAAATTCAACAAGTTGTATCGTTTGCATGCTGAGTTCTCTTCCTACAAGAGGAAATAAAACCCAGCATGAAGGAAGAGAACTCAGCATGCAAACGATACAACTTGTTGAATTTGGGAATCTTTACGGAATCTGAATATAGGTAGAGCACCTACAAAAGGAAATAAATGAATTCATCAAATCATTAGAGGATTAATTAAACTACATTTAGTTGTTTTATATACATCAAAAGAATGTAATTTATTTCAAGAGTAGAATGAGCGATGATCATATGTCATACAACAGAAATACCCACGTAAAAATCACTGATAGCATATTCTTGCTTGAAGACACCGGTTCAAAAGGACTGGAACTGACATTAAATGTACTATCAATCTCGACTATGAACAAGGAGCTCAAGTTCTTCACCAACATTTTATCAGATTGGTGATCTCTAAGACTCATATACACGAGTCTTGGAGCATCAATCTCAACAGAAGAATTTTTACCACCCCGAGTTTTCTCAAGCACGAGACGAAATATTTTTAGAGTCGTAGCCCGCACGCGGAGATCCTTCTCAACACCTACTTTGGAAAGTTCAACAAGTATAGGACTGGGACTAATCACAGAAAGCTCCTTGAGAGCAGGAGAGCCTTCAATGATATTCTCCATGATGAAAGGATCATAATCATACCAAATGTCTTCAAGCTTGAGACGAGGGAGTGACACAGTACAAGTAAAAGTGTCGAGTCCTCCGCATTCGAGCATTAAAGAGACCAATGTGTTGCTCCTGTAAACGTTCTCAATTAAATTAAGCGTCTTTTGTATCAACATCAAAATGATGTACTCCACGAGCAACTGCTGTATCAATCCACTCCACGAGTCATTACCATTGCATTTCTTGGATTATATATTGCATTCGAGCCTTTGTTAAACTCCAGAAATTTGTTGACGAAGCTCTCCAAGGCTTGGCCGTCGGGTAAATCATTAAGCGTTAATTCAAGTTCAGGAACTCTAAGCCAGACAGATTCCCATCTCTTCAACAAACTGCTTGTCTTAATGGAATCTTTGGTCGAAGGTGCGACACGATCTGAGTTAGCAAAATTCTGGAAAATGGCTGATTTATCGCAACCGTCCATCACGAGAAAACTAACCATAATGTTTCAAACACAATGAAATGTGACAAGTTTCAGATGTGATCTCAAAACCTAGGGTTGCTGGTCGATTAAAATCACATACATAAACATGCAATCGAGAGAGAGAGGGAGATCGAGAGGAAGAGAACGAGAGATACCTAACTGATGATTGGATTTTGTAGTGATGTGATGAAATGATGTAAATGATATGAGGTGGAATCCAAAAAGGGGTGAATAAAGATGAGATGGTATGGTGAAATCACAATCAATCAATTCCTCTTAACCATCATAGTCGTGTAGTATAAGAGGTTATCAATCCATAAGGGTTTGTTGCTACTCTATGAGAATATGCAAACACAAGAAAGTCAAGCAATACAGTAAAGGTGGATGTTCTAACAACCTAATGAAATGAAATGCAAGGGAAAAGCAGTAAATAAAAGCGGCTCGACCAAGAGCTCGATCGAGTAGAACAGAGTAACTGGGCTCGATCGAGTTGAGGGTCGAGTTGAAGTAAAAACAGAGGAAATGCAATAAAAAGCGATAAAGGTGCAAACTTTAGACTACTATTACGAAGGTTAGGGTCTAAGACAGGGTCCTGCAACTAGGGGAAGGCTATACTTAATCATTCTTGCTCATTAACCACTTGTACTCAAGCTATCTCTTGGTATTGAGCTTCTCTAGCCTAGCTAACCCTTTCCCAAGGTGAAAGCTATCATCTAAGGCAAGATCTCAGAAACAGGGGGTCAGCCAGTGAAAATCAAGGCTTAGAGGCAGTAGGATCATTGATCAAACTAACCCATCCAACACCTATAAACTCCATTTCGAGAGCAAGCATATTGGAGCTCTTAGTGGACCTTTTCAAGCGATTTCCACTCATTCCCATGAGGAAAATCGCCTAGACTCATACACACAATGGTATGTGGTTGTGCAGCCTTAAGGTTTGCCAAAAGAGAGAGATTTTAGGTTGAGAATATAAAGGAAGAGAGATTAAGCATAAGAATCCTCTAGTCTAGCCCATCTTAAACCATAAAGAGAACTACTCACAACACATTGCAAAATACATAACCAAATGCAATGAAAGAGACATTAAAAGGTAGAGGAAATGAAACTATATAGTTGGATCCAAGGTGATTGTGCACACTGACCATGCTGCCCTTAGACACATCTTCGCAGAAAAAGATACAAAGCCAAGACTTCTCAGATGGATCCTTTTGCTTCAAGAGTTTGTTTATTTTTGTTCGTCTAGACGTGAGATAATGTCTATATAAAAATCCATTACATCAAATGCGATGCAATGCAATGTGGCCGAATCTGTAATAAGACTAATAAACTTCTTCAAACATGAATAAATATGCGAGTGGAACAGTATATATGGTGTATTCCGTTTAGCACGCCTACCTTTTTAAATTCCAAACTTTCTATAGTTGTATTTTGTGTAATTTTAAGTGTTGATTCTAAGAATTCACAAGTATTACTTAAATATTTACCATCATCTAATTTGGTCAACATATTGTGGATCTGAAACGCTGGTATCACTCACTGCCTCTAATGTCCAAATTGTCTTTCTTGAATTGTCGCATTCTTGGCTGTTTTCAGAATAGTGAACAGCTTTTAGTTGCATGTGACTCTTCTGCTTACGAGACATACATAGTCAACAAATTTATAGTTTTGTGTGATAACTTCAATGCAATTAAATGATCTGTTCGACTAGACTCTTTACATGCGTATTCATACAACTTAAGAACCGTACCTCTCCCTTATCTCTTTCAGTCTCCAAATCAGGTATCTCAAAATTCCAATGGATAAGTTGCTTCCTAGAACCTGTATAGATAGCTTATCGCCTCAAACGATTGACTGGACGATAGACGTGATAGTTTTTCGACTGTGGCCACAACTTGATGATAATGGATATGGCATAATAAAAATGATATGCAGCGACGTGTAGGTTGTATTATATTGTTCTTCTTTCTCTTTCAGAATTCTATTAACGGCGTCGTTCGTTGTTGATGTTTTTATTTTGTAGGGCATGAAAATAGTTGCTACTATTAGACATAGATAGCCGAGAGATCTGATGGCAGGATAAAACAAGGCGACTGGAAGATGCTCTTGATATTCAGTGTGATTCCGGTTACTGGTGATGTTAGATATACCAAGCACCAATGTGAGATCGTTGGATGGTCCGTGACATCGACCCAAAATCTAATAGCTTTTTCGTGGATGCTCCGAGTATTTCAGATATTCAGAATTTTATGGTTGAAGAAGACGTCTTGACAGGTTGGTCTACTGTATATGAATCTTGCTAAAGTATTGTGATGTTGTCGGTGATATAGTCTTTATCACAACATTTATTTTTATTTTCAAGATAAAATCGGATTTGTTGCTTCCGTTGGGTATCTGAGGAAGAACGAGGGTGGTAATCGGACACTGAAATTCAATCTTATCGATGAAAAGTGAGATTTATGTGTGTTTCAACAATGTGTAATAGGTGTTATAATAATATACACGAATCGTTACAATCGTATTCCTATGCGGCTTTTTATAACTAACTTTTCAATTATAATATAGTGACCATCTCATCGAGTGCACTGCATGTGATTATATTGCTGATAAATTCTCTGACCTATGGCCGGACAGTGGAAATATTACCAGAATTTGTCTTTTAAGGTTTAGGATGATTGAACAAAGACGTAAGATTTTTTGTTTGTGTTCAATTACGTAAGTTTTACTACCCTAAAAATAATGTTTTCATGGGATTGTGACGGTTGTTTAACGCTATATTCCACAGATGGAACTACGAATGATATGATTCTTTGATCTTTTTCCGGGTGTTCCGAGTTCATTTTTAATCTAGATGTACCAGATGCGGAAACGTTTATAGACAGGTACCAAACTATGGCTGATCAAGGATTGATTATCGACTGAGTACGGTCTACATACCATTTCGTCATACTGAGATGCTATGATGATCAATGACAATGTACAAAAAAAATTTAGTTTGTTGGTAAAATACAATTCAATGACAATGGTGATGATGTTGTCTATATACGTTTGAATCCACATTTTTCAAATAATTATATATCGAATGTAAAATTTATTATCCTATAAGATTATAAAACCAGTGTACCAACTTTTATATCATAAAATATTGTGCCATTAACGGATTGTTGTAGATATAAATAAAAGATCAAAGATAAAAACAACTCGCTTTCTGTTTGATGCTCTCGATGCGTAAAAAAACAAAAACAGTAGAGTAAATGATAAAAAATGATAAATATTATTTCTATGAATACTAGCTTCTAATTTGCATCATCTTTGTTCTGAGTAAGACTGAGTGATAAACACGCATCTTTGAAGCTGTGATGAACAATGCCTCCCATGGTCCTTATATCCTCAAAATTAACCGGACCCCTAACAATTCCTAGCAATATTTGTTAGATAATAAGCCTCTCCGCAACGTGGTGGTACATGCGGAAGAATCACGTTCTTTGATGCCCTGCTTTGCCTACGCCTAGGTTTCCATTCTTTTTTTCTGTTCTGACCAAACCCATCTCGATGGAAACTAAAACAACCAACATTTTTTTTTAATTAAATACTAAACAATTTAGCAAATGTCTTTAAAATAAATTAAATAAATAAAATATCAATAACAAATAAATTAGTTCAGCGGAAGCAAATAATAATTAAACAAGTCTAGCAAAACAATGCAAAATAAATAAAAGCAATAAACATCCTATAATCCCCCTCTTCAGCCTCCATTCCGCGATCACACAAATCTTTTACCTGCAACACATTGAAATAGAGTTGCATAAGACTTAGTGAGACAATCACTCTGCCTACGAGCCATTTACGCAATTTACTAAATATTTAATAAATATTATAAACTCCAATAATTATCAAATATCATTTTCCAATTATTAAATAATTATTGATGATTAAAACTACATTTCTCAATTATTAAATAATTCTTATAATTAATTATAATTTTCCATATTTTAAAATAATGAAAATAATTATTTTAAATCAATTAGATAAATTAACCATTAATTAATTAAATCCGAAAATAAATCAAAAAAATTGAATTAAAACAGTTTAATTCAATTACACCAATTAACCAAAATTAAATCAATTTAAACCAAGATAAACCAATTAAATCAATTAAATTCAATTAAACCAAGATAACCAATTAAATCAATTAAATTAAATTAAACCGGATTAAACCACACAAACACACAATTCATCACAGAAACAACCAAAATACCATGAAATAACAATAAAACACATAAACTCATCAAAAACAACCACAAACCAAATCAAATCTAGCAAATCACGGACCTACAGTCATGCACTCACCTTGACAATAGATTGAAACTGAAGGAAAGACAATGAACAGTGCCGAATCCCGACGATGAACAGTACCCCGATGAACAGTACCCGATGAACAGTACCCGATGAACAGTAAAACTCGAAAATCTCTCCAAAAACTCTACTTTTCTCCTCTGCAGCCTCTGAACTCGAAAATCTCCAAGGAGAAGACGGCTGCACTCTTTTAAACTTGATTTTAGGGCTTTCTCCACTAAACCGGTCCAAACCAATTCATTTAGATTGAACCGACAAAAATTCCCAATTTTTTTTTTGGTTTATGGATGTTACAGAGTCTTTCTAGAGGAGTGTTCTTGGTTCGGGGTTTGATGCTTTTCAATCAATCCCAGACGTAAATTTTTTCTTTGGAGGCGGTTTCACAAGTTCCGGGTCGTCGGCCTAAAAAATTATAAGGTTGTCGCCTAGGAGATAAAAAGGTAGTACTTGCATCTTGCGGTAGCGTAAAGAAACCCTAAATAAAATAAAAATAGATGAGGAATGAATGATACAGCACCGTTCCCATATATATATATATATATGTATCTTCTAGAGAAGTCCTAATCATTGAATCCCTAAAAAATATAGAAAACGATATATATGGACTATGGCTAGACGTAATAACACTTCCTTTTATTATATATAAATATCTATATATAAGTTTATAATATTCCGAAGTAACAGAAAGATAGATTAGAGGTTCGGAATATTATCTAAAAATATTGAAACCTACAAAATATTTAGGTAATGTACCATATATCACACTAAAACGTATTTTATAATAATTTATAGAATATATATAGCTTATAATCATAGTCCGCGCAGTTAGGATTACTGAAAAAAAAACATAATATCAAATCAGATTTTAATGTTTGATATAGAACATATATGGTTCGACTCGGCTATTATCACATTATCTTTGGTTAGGATTTTATGAGACTTCATTTTCTCTTTTATATAATTATTTAAGTGAGGATCCGAAATGGCTTTCAAATAAGAAATTTCCATAATATCACGTCCAGATGAACCAAATTTATTTATGTTCTTTTCGAAGTTCATGAAGTTAAAAGAAATGAAACGGCACAAAGAATATAAATGAGTTAATCATATATATAATTTGTCGTTCTTGAAACAATACAACTTTTCACAAATCTACGAATCTAAAAAACTCTTAATCTTCACGTCCTCTCTCGCAATCTTCTTCTTCGCGATGGCCACATACTGAACTGTCAAGCAACCTTTGCCGTGGGAATATCCAGTCACAATACGCGTTAAGATCTTCAGGAAATCGGAACGACGGAACTTTGATGGTAGGATGATCGTCGATTACATCTTAGTCGATCAGCATGTAAGTTATGTTTGTAAATTCGAAATAAATAAAAAGTCCTTAGTTATACTATATCTTAGTATGATCAAATATTCATTAGATATGTATAGATCTGATATGAACCGGAATATTTGTGTCAGGGTACAAAAATACATGCAAGGGTGAACAGCTACAACTTCCAGAGTTATCGCATCGACTTACCAGAAGGAAAGTGGTGGGAAATTACCAATTTTATCGTCTCAAGTGATAATTGGCTAGATAACAAGTTCATGGTTGCGGCTCATGATTTCATGATCGTTCTAAGGCATGAAACAGAGGTTACGCCTCTTCATCCGCTTTCAAACAGACACTTCTTCGAATTTGCGGATTTTGAGAGAGTCATCTCTGGCAGACACAATATTTCAAATCCAATTGGTATGGTTAATTGATGATAGGATTTGTGTGTGGATGTGAAAAGATATGAAATGAGATGTGTGGAATGCAACAGTGGTATATGATGAGGTGGTAAGATGCAAACACAAACACAGTCAACAATTCCCTTTAACCATGATAGTTGATGTAGTACAAAGGGTTATCAATCCAAAATGGGAAACTTGTCACTCTATGAGAATATGAAACAACCAGGAAGTCAAGCAAGCAGTAATAGATTTGAAGTAACACTAACAACCTAAATAATGAAATGCATGCAATAAAAGTAAACAAAGCAGTGAAGTAGCAGCTCGACCAAGACTCGAGTCGAGTCAGAACAAAGTACCAGCTCGATCGAGTTTAGGGACGAGTTGAGACAAACAAAGCTAAAGGTGACGACTTTAACAAGATAAGAGAGAATTAGGGTTCAAGACAGGGTTTTGCAATCAAAGGAATCTACACTTAATCAATCTAGCTCTTAAAACTCCTTGTATCAAGGCTTCTCTTGATATTGGGCTTCTCAATGCCTAGCCAACCCTTTCCCAAGGTGAGGCTATCAACCAAGGAATGATCTCAGAAACAGGGGGTTAGCCAGTGAGAATCAAACCTTGGAGGCCATAGGATCATTGCCCAAACTAATCCATCCAACCCCTTAGACCTCTATTTCTAGAGCAAGAGATATTGGAGCTCTTAGTGGATCTTTTCCAGCGAATGCCATCATTGTGGGGAATCGCCTAAGGACTTACAAGCCAGGGGTAGTGGTCATGTAGCCTTAAGATCTATCCAAAAGAGAGAGAATCTAGATTAAGACCATAAGCTAGAAGGATTAAGCATATGAAACCTCTAATCTATCCCATCTCAAACCCTAATGGGTAACTACTCACTACACATGAATGTAAACACAAGCAAATGCAATAAAAGAGACATCATAAGAAAGAGGAGATGAAATTAAACAACTTTTATTGAAATAAGCAAGTGCAAATACAAAGAGATTATCCAGGATCTAGGATTCAAGAAGCAAGAGCTTCAAGAACACAAAGATGGGATTAGAGCTCTAAAAAGTAAAAGACAATAAATTAAAAGAAACTAAAACAAAAGTAATCTAAAGCTTGGTGGTTTTTTCGTGGCTTAGAGCCTTTAAATACAAGAGGATTAGGTTTAGGGTCAAAGGAAAGTCAAGGGGGAAGCAACATTTTTCGGGTTTGACTTTGACTTCTCAGCTCGATCGAGTTGAAGCTTGGCCGGTCGAGTTGAGGAACTCGACCGGTTGGTCGAGTAGACGGTCGAGCTGGTCTTCAAGATGGCTTCTCCCTTCTTCCTTTGCGTATCCAGTTGAGCTGCGTCCATGTGCCAAGTCCCTCCATGCTCCTCATGTCCCATATGCTCCAGAATGCTCCAAAAGACCTATTTCAAAGGACCAAACATGCATATGTATGCAAATGCAACCTAAAACTAACATGAATGCATAAGAAGAGAAAAGGAACAAGATATGATGCAAATGGATGCTAAAACTATGCAAAAGATGCATAAAAGATGTGCTAAAACTATGTAAAATGCAAGTACATCAACACCCCCAAACTTGAACTTTGCTTGCCCTCAAGCAAACAAATAGAACAAGAAAGAGATGAGGTTTGAAAAAAGCTGATTCAACACTTAAAAACATGTCCTCAAAAGCGATTTGCTAAATGTCCAACTTAGAGATTCTAGAATGCAACAAGGTGAGAGATATTCATTAAGATTTAACCATGCTTATCAACATCAATCCCACTTCACAGTCACTCAAACAATGCATTCAAATCAGCAAATCCCTTTAACATTCATTAAGCAAAAACAGTGAACCAAAAACATGCAAGATCAATCAACTCATTTGGTTTCAAGGGTTTATGGGTTAAGAGACAAAGAGGGTCTCTTTTGTATGGTGGTTTAGTAACAGGGATCTCTCAAGAAAGTGGCTTTGCTTTGGCAGAAGGCTAAGTGTTAGAACCAAAGATGATGCAAGAACAGCAGCTCGAGCCGTCTAATCCTAACTCGATCGAGTTCAACACTTAGAGCTTTTTAGAACAAAATCCTAACTACCCTTTTTGGCATTTCGCCTTTGAAACTGAGGAGCTTTGCTCACTTTTCTTTTAAGAACTTCCTAGGGAGAGGCTTCTTGAGGTAACATCTAGCGGTTTGGGATTTTCTAAACACTTAGGGAACTTTTCTTTCTTTTTGACACTTGAGGCTTTGCCTTCTTTTCATTCTACTTAGAACCCTTTTTACTTCCTTTTTTAACTTCCCAAACCTTTACTAGACCCTTTTTAACACTGCCAACTCCCTGGACTTAACTAAACTCTTTTTCCTTTGGTTTTTCCCAACTTTTACCACTTTTCTGGTTTTTACACCCAACTCGATCGAGCTCGAGTTGGCACCCCCAAACTTAGCCTGAAAACAATCCCAAGAGAACTAGACAACTAGAACTACTGCCCCTGCCGGTTTAAACACAACACCTTATGCTAAGCAAAGCCAAGAAAGGTTCTCACATTCGCACAAGAGATAAAATGGGGTTTGAAATGAAAAGGCTTAGGTTTAAGGTGTGGTAACTGTCTCAAAGATAGAGATCAGCTATCTGGACAAGCAAAGGGATATGAAAATGGTAAAGAATGTCCAGATATGTATGTGGTAGCCATGAGTTGAAATCAAATGCAAGCATTGGTAATTAAAGATCAAGTTATGGTTCAAATAGATAGGGAAATGCATCAAATCACAGCAATGGTTGAATGAGATGTGCATGCAGTGATATGATCAAGATAAACATGGTTCTTGCTGCTCAATCAATCTCACCCTAATGCACAAAAGAATCTAAAAACAGGGCACTCAAGAAATCGCAAAAGATGACAAGTTTTCAAAGTCAAATCAACAATGCAAGTGAAAAATGCAATCCTAAACAAGTCTAACAAATATGAATGCAAAAAGATGAAAATATTTTTGGATTTTTTGAAAATTTTATGATTTTTTTGGTTTTTCTATGCAAAAGATGAATGAAAAACTAAGAACAAAGAAAACAAGGTTAAATCATCTCTTGAACCCTCCCCCAAACTTAAATCACACAGTCCCTTGTGTGAGAAAAATTTAGTGAAAGATTCAAGAGGGCAAAACCAAGAAAAAACAAGAACAAATGCAAGAAAATATGAAATGGTATATACAAGGGTTGGTGTTTGGATACCTCAGTGCCCCCCAAAGAACTGGGAGGCTAGGTCGTGGTCTGGAGATGGGAGACGGCCATCAGGAGCACTCCACTCAACTGGGTTGCCTCACTCGATCGAGCTTGTGGCTCCTCTTCCTCCTCTTCTTCATCGAAAGTGTGTGTGGCTCCCTTGGCCTTGGTGGAGCTGGCTTGCTCGAAGCTGTTGTAGGGGTCCAGTGGTCTGGAGAAGTCCTGGTACTGCGTTGGATCGTACTCGAATCCAGGGTTCTCAAACAGGGGCTCCTCCAGGTCAACTCGACCCTCAGCTCGATCGAGTTGAGTTTCCTCTGTTTGGACTCGATCGAGTCCGGTGGTCGAGCTGGAGCGTCTGGCCTTGGAAGTCTTCCTCCTTCTCTGCGTGTTGTCTCTCCTTCTCTTGTCCACTTGAACTCCTGCTGCACAAAGAATTGGTGTGATCACCCCTCCAACACTAAGCTTTCTTCCTCTTTGGTGCCTAGTGTTGTAAGCCGTGACCTTGTAAGCTTGGAGCTGCTCAAGGAGAGGCATGAGATTCCCTGCGTGTGCCCTGTCTCCTCTGATCTTCTTCCCATTCCTTGTGCGTGAGATGATGGGCTTGATTCCCATGTCAAGGAGCTTCACTTCTCCTTCATTGATTGTACCAGTGGCTTTCCTTGCAAAGAAGGTGTTGGCAAGTGCCTTGTGGACATATCTCAGCACAGGACTCCTGATTTGAGCAGCCTTAGACCTTGAAGAAGAGTACACTCCATCAGCGATTGTAGCCCACACTCCTTGGAGTTCATTTTCCTTGATGTTCCACTTTCCTTCTCCATATGTGAACCCAAACAGTATCTCAAGCTGCCTAAAAGTCACCATCTTCTTCTCTCCCTTTGCAAGAAAGTTATGTACCCCCAGCCTTGGTCCAACTCAGCTCGATCGAGCTCATCAAACTGTGATGCTTCATCGAGCCAAAAACTCACAAGTCAACTCCTTGTAAGACTCCATGCGGTGAGAGAAAACTTCCCAATTGCATGTTCTTGAGCACCAACTCCACATCTCAAAGATCCAAGGGCCTTCATGTGTCATCATGTGGGTACTTGGTCTCCACAAAGTCCATGGAGAAGAGAGCATTGTAGTGCTCTTGGTACATGGGGAGCTCATCCTCCTCTTCTGTCGGCCTCCTCCATGGCTCATCTTGGTTACCTCTTGCTCACTTCATCAACCAATTGGTTCACCTCTTCTCCTTCCTCTTCACTCTCAGTCTCATCACTCCTTCTTCATTTGGAGAGCCATTTCCCTCCTCTTGAACAAGGTTCACTCCAATCTCAAACTCTCCTTGCTCACTCTCACTACTAATGGGTCATTCCTCTTCTTGGTCTCCTTTCTTCCCTCAATCTCTCACTCTCAGACTCTTCCTCAGAGTAGACATACTCCTCTGCATCAGACTCTTCCATCCTTTGATCATCCTTCTCCAAATCGGCTTGCATCTTAAGCCTTGTCTCTCTTGCATTGCTTGATTCACCCTCAACCATTCTCCTCTGTGAAGCACGACTTCCCTCACTGTTTGTCATCTTGTTACTCTGTTTCTTCACTAAAGTACCTGAAATGCATCAAAGATTACAAAGAATTAGAGTTGTAATGATCGGTTTGGTCAACTCGACACTCAGCTCGATCGAGTCAAAAAACTCGAGTGACAAACTCGATCGAGCTAGGTGAAAACAGAGTATAACCCAAACCTAATTCAAGTATTAAGAGCTGGAAAAGATGCTAATCAATCAAATTGAACCAAGAACAACTAGTAAATGGAACAATGAGCAATTCTAGTGAAGCACTAAGCATCTTAACCAATACCAAACTCAAATTCAATTTTCAAGCACATGCAACAAGTTTTAATGGCAAAACAGAGGTGAGGTAGGCAATTCACAAGATTAACAAATATAAGCATAAGAAAGCAATTACTCAAGACAAGTCCACAAGGGACACATGCAATCAAAAATCAAAGAGAAACAAGCAATATGGAAATCGAGATGGAGGAAAAGGGTTTTAGGGTTCATACCTTGTTGAATGATGAATTGAAGAGCAGTAAACAAAACCCAAGCAAAACAATGAAGAACAAAGGAAATCGCAAAAACTTGAGAAAGAGAGATTGAAATTCGAAATTTTCTTGTGGTGAGAGAGAGAGAGAGATGAGTTTCAGAAATTTTAAGATTGTGGGAGAGAGAAGTGGGTTCGATCGAGTTATGGGGAAGAGGGGTGTTTGAGATGTGTGGTTGAGATTAAAAGATGAAATAAAGAGGGGACAAAAGCTAGGGATTTTCTGATCAATTAGGGTAGTGGGGGACCAAAATCAGCTTGTGGGACCCACTCCCTTGACCAAGAAAACGGTTATAAATTTGAAATTCAAAAACTTACCTCGGTCGAGTTCGATCCCCTGTTTCTAGCTCGATCGAGCTATCGGTCGAGCTGGCTCCTTTGTCACCTAAACTTAACTTATTGAAAGGTTAAAAACATAAAGATAGATAGAAATTGCATAAATAGAGTATGTACAAGGATAAACATGGGACTTCCTCCCAAGTGAGCTTGACCTTTACCTTCTTAGGCATTGGTTGAGCTAGTCCCACCATCAAGGGTGATAGTGAGGACTTGAGACAGAAGCTCCTTTAGCTTGGATGGGTCCCTGGATTGTTCTGAAGTACCAAGGCTTTGGCTCTAGAGAATGGCCTTGATCTCCCCTTGTACCTTATCTTGTACTCAATCTTCCCATTTTCAAACTTGGTGGGGAACAAAGTCATTGTGAGCTGAGATGGCTTGACTGAAGGGGCCTGAGCTGGTGGATCTTTTCT